GTGGGGGGGGGGGATCGCCATGCCCCATCAGCCGTAAGACGGTTGGGAGGTAGCGAGGTATTTCTCCGTCGAGGCCTTGCCAGGTGGGCTCCGGCTCTGCCAAGGCCTCTTGCATGTCAGGCGTGGGGCTGGGGTGGGTGGGGGGAGATTCCCTGCTCCATTGGCTGGGCTGCAGTATTTGCAGGGGGGGGGCACGTGTTACCACAGTAACCAGTGACTTTTCTGCACTCGGGGATTCAGGCAGTTGGGAGAGCACAAAAGACGGGAAGAGAAAGACAGACCGAGAGAGGACGGGGAGGGGGCCAGGAGGGCCTGCCAGCCAGCCCCCCCCCCCCGCCCCTGGGGCTCCTGGCCCCGCCCCCGCGGAAAAGCAGCGGAACAGCTGCCAGCCCTGCGAAGAGGGGCAGGCCTTCGCCTTCCACCCCAGGGCTTGGGGGGGGGCTGCTGTTCAGCGTTCATTGAGGGCAGCCAGTGGGGTCACTCAGAACGCAGCCCTGACCCTGCGCCCGGCCCCCTTGCCCTCCTCCCACGGGCCCATCCGCTCCTCACCTGGCCGGGATGCCCTGCGCATGCCTCATGCGTCACTGCCGTTGCCAGCTTGCCAGGTGGGGCCTGGAGATGTCCCGGGGTCACAGCTGATCCCCAGCCTGCAGAGGCCAGTGCCCCGGGAGAGAAGGGCAGCTCTTTGGAGGGAGGGCCGCCCCCTGGGCCACCACCAATCCCAGGCGAAACCCCTCCCTGGATTGTGCCCCCCTTCCCAGGCACCGCCCCCCCCATCCCCCAGGAATTTCCCCGGCCGGAGAGGAGATGGGACCTGCCACACACTCAGGGCTTTCCCCTTCCTGCGCTCCCTCTCCACCCTCCCGCGGGACTGTGGGGACAAGGGCAGCCTGGGATACGGCGGGGGGGGGGAGTTGCTGGTGAGCACGGCCAGGTCGGACCTGTCTCTTGTGACGCTGCATCTCAGCAGAGCTGCGGCCGGCTGATTGCATAAAGCCCCCCCCCCCCGAGCATGAAGAAGGAGAAGAAAGGGGCCACCATGGTCAGGCCATGCCCTGGGGGACTCCATCGCCCCACCACCACTTGGCACCAACGCTCCCTCTCAGCTGTGGGGGCTCGTGAGCAAAAATCCTACTTGGTGAGCTACCGGCGGCATGAAAGCCGTGAGCCAGCAATTTGGCTCCTGCATCAATCAGTTTGCTCAGGAGCCCTCCTTCCTCTGTGAGCTGGAGGCTAAAAAACTGTGAGCTAGCCCACACTAACTCAGCTTAGAGGGAACACCCCTTTGCACCCCACTGAGACGTGTGTCGCTGTGGAAGCTCTGCTGGCTTCCCTTGAAACCTTGAGGTGTTCCCACAGGAAGGGAAAGCTCCAGGTTCCCTCTCCAATCCGGCAATGGCCTACAAATGGGTGGAACAAGTCGTCGTCCCCCATCTCAGAGAAATGTCACTGGGGGGGAAATTCCCCTGACCGTCCTCAGGATTCTTCCAGAGTCTGGACCGAGGAGGAGTCACTCCCCAGTGACCTTCCAGCTGCCGGGACAAATCCCCACCCCCCACCCCCCGGTGTGAGGAGAGCTGCTCCGCCGTGGGGAAGGGAGCTCAGAAATGGAGCACTCTGGGCTGCTCTCCTGTTGTGACAAGTACAACATGTCAGCCATGACTGCGGCCACCCTTTGGACTGGAAGGCGGGGCAGAAAGTCCTTTGGTCAAGCCAGCAGGTGGCCCTGGCGGTCAAGGGCCTGCAAGGACAGTTGACCAGACGCGGTGGGGGAGGCCCTGAGACAGAGCGCACGGCAGTGTCCGTCCCAAGCCAAGAGCGGCGTTGTTTGGTTCAGCCTGCTCCAGACTCCGTGCAGACCCCGACGCGACGGGCACGCTCCCTGCCAAGGCACATCAGTGCTCCCCTGGGGCCTGTTGATCCGTTCCTGGGGTAGACGCGGCCTGGTACCGCTCCAGGGTGGCCGAAGCGAGGTCAGCTGCCGCACGGACATGAGTGTCAGAAGTGGGGTTTGGAGAGCACGTGTGTGTGTGTGTGTGTGGGTCACGTGACTGCCGAGGGCTTGCTCAAGACATCTGCAGCCCGAGGTGCAGGGCGGGACATCGGGAGATGAATTCCTCCCTCCCTGCCAAGTGGACGCTGTCCGAGTGGAGTGACAACTCCTGACTGGGTCCTGATTGGGTCCCTAGAGGCATAGTTCCGAGTTCCAGCCAATCGCAGCGCGGGGGGCGCCCAAGAAGTGCCGTCCTGTTGTTGTTTTAGGTTTGATTGATTGTTTCCAAATCCTTAATTTGTATGGCGCCCCACACACACACTCACACACACACACACGAAGATGCTAGCTTTGTCTTTGAAGCTGTCATTTGGCCAGTGCCTCACGATAGGCTGGGAAGGCAAAGCATCACCTCACACCCCGTTGGTGGCTTCGGATAGGGTACAGGCCTGCTCGGGATTGGCTGTGGCGGGTGACAGTGAGTAATGGCCAGCAGTCTGATTGGCTGGCCTGCATCCACTTGGGCGTAAGAGCTGGCATGCTGCTTTATGAAAGGAACATGGATTGGCCAAGTGGAGAGAGCTGTGTGGAGCGAATCGCACTCGAGAGAAGGGAAACGGTCAAAGCTTCTTGGAAGGCAGGCCCGGTGGGGGGGGGGGGAGAGACCTGGGTTCTGTAGGGAGCTGGAAGAGTGGAGCAAGGTGGAGGGGCATCATGCGGGTCTGAGCCCAGAGACGTTACCGCGGTGCTGGGTCACCGTTTATGCAGGCCTTGCGTCCTCCGTGGTGTTCAGCTTCCAATCTCCTTCTGTGAAATGGGCACACTTCCCTCTGTCCCCCAAAGAATCCAGGCAGAGTAAAATTAATTTGCCACTGCGTGGTGCTCGTTTTCTAGTTTGGAAGCAACACCTTCCGTTCCGGGAACGGGGTGGGAACTGAGGACGGGAGTCGCAGCGACACAGCCGGGAGCCGGCAGACCTGGGCACCCTGCTCTGGGCGAGGGGAAGGGGCGGTCGTGGAGGGGTTAAAGCGCCAGGGTGGGGGCCCGTGAGCGTCCGCAGCCTCTCCCGCCGGTGCTCTGAAAAGTGCAACCCTAGTGTGTTGGTGCCTCTCCTCTCCCCGGGCCCGACCGTCCTTCTCAAAACGGCCTGCGCTTAGGCCGACAGGGTTTCCCATCAGGTGCTCCCCGCCCATGAAGCCGTGCCTGGCGCTGATGTGAAAAGGCAAATGTCACCCAAGGATGCAGGCATTGCCCCAAGGCCAGAATAGTCTGGGAGACCGTTTGGCGGCAGTGGCGAGAACTTCCTTCCCAACTGTGGTAGCAGAGCACCTCCTGGTGGCCGTTCTCGGGGCCTGCACTTTCCAATCCTCCCAATCTCCCTCCCCCTTCCTCCTTCCAGCTTGCAGATGGATGGGCCCCCTTCCTTCTACAGTGCGCTCCATTGCCCCTCTGGCCAGAGCCTGCAAACTCATCAGGGCGCATTTTGAACTTCCGCTTAGAGTCCAGGCACAGAGGAGGTTCCGTTCGTTTTGTTTTTATTTTATTATCGAAATATCAGAAAAACAAATACAAGTACAAGTCGATGTTTCAAGTGAAAAATAGAACATATACATACAACACTTGGTAAATCAGCTTATACAAATCAGGATCAGCTAGTAAGTTCTGAAACATTAAGTCAGCAATAAAAAAAAGATTGCAACTTAGACAGGTCAGCAGAACGATTAATATTCGTGTAATTGAAATCCTTATTAACAAAGGGCAACCATTTCTTAACAAAAAACGATTTAGAACCTGTAGAACGGCCTTTATCCATATCCTGTGTTAATTTGTCTAGAATAAAATATTCCCAGACCCTAGCAAACCAGGCTTCACTGTCTTTCCATTTTGATGCTAAAACGCTCTTTGCTGTTGTAAACATGACTTCTTGAGTATAAATAGGTGGTTTGCAACCTTCCCATAAATCCAGCAAAACTATTCTAGGATCTTGAGGAGTTTGAACACCCAATAATAATCCGATTTCTTGTAATGTCTTACTCCAGTATGTCTGAATGCATGGACACGTCCACCAATTATGACTGAAAGTCCCTTTTCCCCCCCACAACCCTTCCAGCACAAAAAAGAAGCTGTACCAGTTGAGTGAGGTTCCGTTCATGACCGGTCCTGATCGGTGTGTCTTCCCTGAATGTAGGCAGAGCCGGTCGTTTGTAGGAAAGAGAAGAAGCCAGAGGGGAAGAGAAAGGGGGCAAGCGCGTCGGGTGTCAGATACAGATCCTCGAGAGAAGCAGCACCAGGAAGCCCAAATCCACAGTGGGATGGGGGGGGGGTATCTGGCGAAACCCAGGTTCAAATCCCTGCCCAGCCCTCAAAGCTCACGGGCCAGTCACTCTCTCAGCCGGACCTCCCTCGCAGGGCTGTTGTGAAGAGAGGGGGCCGCCGTGCATGTCTTCGGGGAGGGCTGAAAGGTGTCATGGCGGACGGGGACTGCCTCTCGGGCTGGCTGCCTCCGCTCCAACTCTGTCCCTCCCCTGCTGGATCCTGACATTAGGGGGGGGCCTGTTCCCCCAAAGAGAGGGGGTGGTTGGGAAATGTGATATGGGATGACCGGCCGCAGAACCCGCTCCTCCTGGTGGCCCTGTGCTGTGCGGGGGCTCTAAAACGTTTCCCTAAAAACACGAACTGCAGTGAAGAAGTGCCTGGAAACGATGCTTGGCGCCACTCCCCCATATGGCCCCTGGTTTCAGAGACCTCTGCGGCCTCGGGGTGGGGGGGGAGAAGGGGGGCAGAGACTGGCAAAGCGAGGGGCAGGGGGTGGGATGCTGAGCTTGGCACCGGGAGGGAGGAGGTGGGAGGTTGGCACAAGAGAGCGAATGCCGCAGAGGGATGGCGGGGGGGGGAGGAAGGACGTGAGGGTGCCCCGTTGTAATTCCGCCTCCCTTTCCTTGTCTCTCCCAGTCTTGGTTCCTCTGACGGGATCTTCAAGCGAAGAAAAATAATACAGATGACGATGATGATGATAATAATAATAGTAGTAGTAATTTTTCACTCAAAGCCCCAAGAGTAAGCATCTTCAGTCCTTAACCCGTCTCTTCACCGAGCTGCTCCTCTGGAAGGAAACGTCGTCGTCAGAGACGTCATTGTCAGGCGGCCACGCAGCAGACGAGAAGCTTCGAAAAGGGTCGCGTCGGACTTCCCCGATCCCAAGCAGATTCGGCCGTTGTGTCGGTGGACGCCGTGTGGAATCCCAGCCGCACCTGTAGATGCCACGTAACGCTGTTTACGGTTCTGTGCGGTCGCTCTGGACAGGCCCCCGTTGAAACAGCAAAAGGGATGGCTCTGTCTTCATCGTGGGGGAAGGAATTGTCTTGGCACCGACCGGCCTCAGACCTCCAGGGGGCACCCAGGTCGGCTGGGCTCTGCCGTCTTCCAGAGGGCCGCAGAGCGGGCTCGAAAGAGCGGGGTCCCTGCCCCTCTGAGCGCACAGGGTTAGGGTTATGCTTCTTGATCACTCGGCTGCAATTAAAAATCCCTGGCAAAGCTGCCAGCGGGAACAAATTGGTCCTACCGCTCGCCATTCAAGTGCCCAGAAGAGGTTTTAAAAGCTGGTCCGGAGGGAGGGAGGGAGGGTGTGCTGGTTCCGAGTCAGAACTGGTTGGACAGGAGAGAACTGGGTCACCCTTCGCGGTACGGCCATCGCCACCCAAACCTAAAGGCCTTCTCTGTTAAACCGCCCTTGTTAGCTGAACGAAAGCACTGGGGGGGGGGGGCTCTCCCTTCCCCTACACCTGACAAACGTCCCGGTGGGCCGCATCCAACCATCCCTGCACGGAAGCCTTCCTGCGTTCTTTCCCATTCCTGCCGCCCTTTCCGATCCCTGGAAAGCTCGTCCCCGAGGTCGAAGGATCGGTGTGCAGGGCTCCCCCCCCTGCAGGGGGTAAACACGGTCTTTCTGGGGTTTGGAAGGGGCCGCGAGAAGAGAGGGGGGCGTTTGAGGGCTCTCTAGTCCGTGCACAGAGCGGTCAGATGCCACGTGGCATCTGGCAATTCCCGGGCTGCTTTCGCGGGGCGGCGATTTCCCCTTCTTCCCCCTCAATCCCCTGGTCCATGCCACTTGCACCCCCACTCCCAAACGGCTTTTTGACAGCTCTTTTTTTGGGGGGGAAAGGTACTCTTATAGTCCATGACTTTTTTTTAAAGCCGGCAAAAAGCCCCTTGGGGTGTGCGTTGAGGGTGTGCCAAGGGAACCGGAGGGCGAATGGCAACAGGCGTGGGCAGAGGGGGTGAGGAATCCGCCCCTCCCCATCCACCCTGTGGGGAAAGACAGCTTGATATCAATATTGACGAAAAGATCAAAGCAAAATCAGGGTCTGGAAGCCCCGGAGCACCCCACAGGCGGCCACGGAAGACACCGCGAGGGCATCCTACGGGAGCCCTGCCGGTACTCCTTCTTCCGGGAGGATTTTTTCCTGCAGCCTAGGAATCAAAAAGTATGACGCCAGAGTTACGGGCAAGCATCTTCCCCGCAAACCGAGAGAAGCCCTGCAGGTGAGACACACTTCTAAAAACTGCATCCGGCCTCCCCAGTCCAGAGTAGATTTGGTTCAGGCGGCCAAACCAGGCAGGTCTTGTCAAATGCTCGCCTCTTAGAGGAGAAGTCACTGTACACACACCCTTCTAAGTATTCGCAATTCGTAGACCCTGTGGACATTGATTTTAAAATATTGGAAATCCATCGCAATGAACGAATAAGCCCAGGGGCCCTGCTGAACGTGTGCCGTGGGCAGGTTCGTGAGGCCGGTCCAGACGTGGTTCCACGCAGCTTCTGGCCTGTTTTGGCCTGGGGGGTTGGGTGGGGGGCTGCATTCCTTACCCCCCCGACTGCCAGTCATTCCCTTTTGAGGTTTGGGGTGTCTTGTCGTCGACCGTCCTGACGCTTTTCCTGATCCCTTTTCTCTGCTTTATTTTAATTTTTTTCTTGCCTTTAGTTGTAGCGTTTCCATTGGTTTCCTATACATACAGGTGTCAACAGCGAACAAAAAGTTAAACAGAAGGGAAAGACAAAAAAGCAAAAAGAGAAAAAAAATCCCTAAAGTTCAGTAAGCATCAAACGCACTCTGCAAACTTCAGCACAAAAAGAAGAGAAACAAATTCCATAGTTAGAGATAGCAAAGGCTGTTCTGACTGGTAGATGAAAGAGTTTGGCCTGGCTGGCTGCACACAACGTGCTGCGCACACACCCCGGAAGGAGTCCCGCAACTGGCCCCCGCTCGCTTTCCCCTTTTCCTTTCTAAGCTGAGCACGACGCCTGCAGGGCGGAGGAGAGCCAACGCTCTTCTCTTCCTTGCGCATTGAAGGAGGCCCCCTGGGGGTTGGAGGGGGCACTGCCGCAGAGAGCCAGTGACCAGATTGTCCGTACGGGGCCAGGGGCCTTGGCCCGCTCCCCACCGGCCACTGTTGTCAGGAGTTACCTCCTAAGTGGTCGGGGGGGGGGAGACAGAGGCCCCCTCCCCCCCTTCGGCTCTTCTCCTTTGGGTCCCCCGGAGAGGCACCAGCCAGCAAAGGGGACTCCTGCCGGCAGAGGAGGTTCAGGGCCAGGAATCTGCATCCCTGTCCAAGTGCAATGATTTTCCTAATCCCAGATGGAGAAACAGGGTCGAAAGCAGGGAATTCTGAGGGCTGTAGACCGGCCCGGTCCCTCCGCCAGCACTGGGCTCCCCACGTCACCCACCCACACGGCCGGCACGAAGGTGTCGACTTGCCCCTGATGCTACTGCCACCAGGGGGGAGAGTCCTTCTCCCAGGGGCCCAGTCTAGAGCCACAAAGCCCTGGCGCGGGGGCTCCGAACGGGCCCTGCCTGGAGCCCCCCTGCCCTCCCAGGTCCACTCCTGCTCAGGAGGCCTGGATCCTGCGCCTTCTAGAAGCGGCACCCAGCTGCTTCCTCCACCTCCCCCCCAACAGCCTGCCCCCAGCCCCCATTTAAGAAGGGGAACCCAGAGGAGAGGGAGGCAGAGCCCCGCTTGGCACAGAGAGATCGGGACCCGCGAGGACTGGAAGAGCCACGTCTGTTTCTCCAAGAGGTCCTTCCACGGCAGTGGCCATGGAAGCGGATCCTGGCCCGGAGCACTTAAGGAACAGACTTCTCCCCCTCCTCCAGCGCAGGCTGGCCTTTCGCCTCTTGCTCAGCTGCTGCGACCCGGAGCCACGCTAGTCGCATCCTACAGCACTGGGGGAGCGGAGCGGCACACCTCGCATTCTTTCATGGGGCGTTCCCTGGCTGAGAGAGGTGACCCCCCACCCTCCCCACAAACAAGCCGTCTTGGAGCGGTGTGTCCAAATCTCTCTTTGCTTGACAATTCCGAGGCCAAAAATAGGTGGGGAAATGGGTGGGGGTGTCCAAATTGGGGGGGGGGACTTCCCACACTATGAAAGGCCGAAAGTCACTCTACAGTCGAGATCTTTTCTGCTGTTGCTCTATATTCAGCAAGTGTATTCTGTTAAATTATTGAAAAGGGAATGAGTCAGTCAAACAGATTTCCGTGGGCAGCCGTGTTTGTCTGAAGTAGAGGGGCTCGATTCATGTCCCGCTGCACCTTAAGAGGCCAACCAGATTTCGGGAGGTCTGAACTTTAGAGAGTCCGCGCTCCCTTCGTCAGTCAAACACGTCTTTAAAAACTTTTGAGCCTTCTCAGTTTCACTGCCAGTGTTGCTCAGACTAGACTTCCTATTTCGGAACTCGGGGTGGTGGTGGTGGGGAGGTAGGGGCGTGCCTTTGGATCTTCGAACCATGGGTTTGCAGGCATTGAGAGATGGGAGAGCTCAAATGCACAGCCCTTCAGCACTGGAGGGGTGGAAGGAGACTGTGGCCTAAGTATGGGGGGGGGAAAGCCTCGGGGTCCCAGCGGTGATGGCGCCATAACTCTTGGCACCTGCTGGCATGTGACCAGGGGAGGGCAGCCACCAGGGGCCGGGTGGCGAGGCAGGGGCATCTACCAGCCGGCTCAGCTCAAGCGGGGCGAGGGGCTGTACTCACAAGGCACGGATTTGGAAGGGGTGACCCGGAGGACCTTTTAAACTTAGAGTAGTTGGAAGGTGTGGGCGGCAGAATGGGAAAAAAAACACAGGAGCCTGTGTTTAGGAGGGGAAACTTTTTAAAAAAAAGAAAATGCAAAATATATATTAGGGGTTTTAAAAGAACCAATTTTGTTTGCATTGAGCCAAGTGCAATGGAGTGCATAGTTTTAATATCTTTGTATGTTAAAGATTGTTAAAGAAGAAGAGAGAGAGAGAGAGAAATTCTATTTTTGTTGCAAAGTCCTCTGTTCCCAGGGACTCTAAATAAGTCGGGACAAAAGAAAACCCAACCTTTGTAAGTATGGGGAAAAATTCTGTTTATTTTTTCAATTGTTTATTTCTTCCTTTTTTGTTCTTGTTCGTTTTTTTATTTTTTTTTTAAGTTGATAATGATTGGAGTTTGGTTCCCCCCCCCTTTTCCCCCTCATTAGTTTTGTCATTTTAAGGGAGGGCTGAAGGCAAAGGTTTTTTCACATGCATTGTAAAAACAAACAAAAAAACCCCGCAGACTGTATCAGGTTCAAAACGTGGAAAGAAAAACAACAAAATTTTAGCTAAAGGAAAAAAAGAACGGCAAGCAGCAAAAAAAAGCAAAAAAAAAGACAAAAGCCTAAAAAATCATAAAAGGAGAAAATTAAAAAAACACAAAAAACCTGGTGCTTCTTACAATATAAAAAGTACATTAAAATCTCTATTATACATAGTTTATGAACCAATTAATTGTTATCATAAAGCACATTTTAGAGAACGCGCATTATCCCTTCGTTATGTTTAGCTGAACGGGGCAGCGGGGCCTTGCAGTCACTCCCACCAGCAGCTTCCGGCAGCCTCTCGTGGATCCTCCCAGGTCGCCGAGCCGGACGGGTGGCGGTGCGGTTGCCACAGGGACGGGAAGAGGGCCCCCTGGGAGCGGGGCGGCCCTGAACG